TGATGCCCTGCCCTGACAGGGGTGCGAGAGCAGGCCGGACTTACTCTGGGGCTCCAGCCTGTCCAGCAGGGGCGAGGCGCTGCGGGCGGCCACCTCCGACAGGCCGCGGACCCCCAGCTCGGCCACACCCCCCACCCAGCGCAGCAGCGGCAGCCGGCCCTTGGCGTCGGCGTAGGCGGCGGTCACGGCCTGCAGGGTGGAGCGGACGAGCGGCAGGCGCGCCACGCGCTGCACCACGGTCACCTGGCGGGAGGGAGGCCGAGAGAGAGAACGGCAAGGGCGGAGCAGAGGGGGGTGGCTGTTCACAACCCAGGAACCCCAGCTCCAACCCTGCAGGGAGTCCAGGTCTCCCCAAACCCTCAGCTTCATCAGAGCACACGGCTGAAAACCTCGTTTTTGTTCTCTTTCCCTACATCATAAAGCCATCTTTATCCTTTACTCACTCCTCCAGTTTCCACTGCGGATCTCCGAGTGCAGACGACACTGAATACCCCTATAAGCCGCTGTATTCACTGACGCTTTGTGTTATGAATGTCTATTTATACATAATCAGACATATTAACAATTCCTTACACTCGTATAGCGCCTTTCTGGATACTCCTCCCAAAGCACTTCACAGGTCATGGGGATCCCCTCCACCCCCACCAGTGTGTGGCCCCACCTGGATGATGCACCTGTCCTCTCCCCACACAGCAGCTCTCAGTGGGGATGAGAGCAGAGTGATGGAGCCAGTTCAGAGAGGGGGGTTATCAGGAGGCCATGACTGGTACAGGCCAGGGGGGAATCTGGCCAGGACACTGAGGTAACACCCCTACTCTTCTCAAGAAACGCCCTGGGATTTTTAATGACCACAGAGAGTCAGAACCTTGGTTTCACGTCCCATTCAAAGGACGTCACCTTTTTACAGTATAGTGTCCCCGTCACTGTACTGGGGCATTAGGACCCACACAGACCGCAGGGTGAGCGCCCCCCCCTGCTGGTCCCACTAACACCTCTTCCAGCAGGAGCCTCAGCTTTCCCAGGAGTCTCCCCTCCAGGTACTGACCAGGCTCACACTCCTGGGCTCCAGTGGGCTGCCCCAGTGCTGAGCTGGAGTAGGATTCCTCTGCCAGCCGCGGGATTTGAACTGGCAACCTTCCAGCCACAGGCGCAGATCCTGAGCCACAGAGCCACCGCTCTCCCAGGGTCTCTGGTCTCTGACCCCTCCTACCTCGCTGTTTGCACCCGGTGTTCCTGACATCTTCTTGCTCCAGTTCTCTGCGGGGGTCAGGGGCAGGGCGAGGGGTGCGGAGAGGAACGTCAGTGAGATACCCCTGGATTCTGAGCGAGAGAGATCGGGGATCAGGGGTGCGGAGAGGAAAGTCAGTGAGATACCCCTGATTCTGAGAGGCAGAGATCAGGGGTCAGGGGTGCACCCTCTCCTGCCCAGCTGGGAATTTCCCCCTGCCTAGAATTTTCCGGCCGCTTCCCAAAAGACAGCCGCGCACAGATCCCAGTGACCATCACGCCTTGTTTTTCTGGGAAGCCCCACCCTCACCCCCACCGTTCCCCACAACGAGGCAGTCAGCTGCCCCCGAGCTTCAATGGCCCCGTCTGTCCGCGCTATCCCAGCATGCAAATCGGGTTTCACGGCCCACCCTCACCCGACTCGCCCTGACCTCCGGGTCACAGCTGAGCTCCGGGGAGCAGGGGGAGCGCGTGACCCCACCGCCGCTGACGGGGGGGGGGCATCTGCATCCCGGGAGACAGGCTCTTCGGTGTGGGAGGGCCTTCGGAAAAGAGAATGACAAACCTCACCACAGGGAGACGCCAGTGATAAGGCGATTTAAACTGGCGATTTGCACCCTCTGGGGGACACCCTAAAAGCAGCCTGCCCCCCCCAGGCTTAGAAGATGACGTGTGTGGAGACCCTGCGACTTCTCCACTACTTGGGAAAGCCAAAAGAAACAGGCGAAGAGCAGAAAGGCACCCAGCGCACTTAGCTAAGTAACTAGTCCGTCTCTGAGGGCAGCTGGGGAGCTGGAGGCAGGGACAGACACAGATACGAGCGCACACTCACACAAGACAGTCAGTGAACCCCACCACTGTGGGAGGAAAGCGGGGCCCCTGGAGGAAACCCAGACTAGCACATACGAAGTGAGAACTCCGCACAGACAGCACCCCAGGTCTGGAATTGAACCCTGGGCCCCTGCTAACCAGTCCACCACTGTACCCACATTTTGACTACCTTCCTCATACGTAATATTAATAGGTTGCCAGATTAATCGAATTAAAAATCCTAGTTCTATTGCAATCCTGGAACTGCTAAACTGTCCAGCGAATACTCCGAAATTTCTGAGGAAAAACCAGCAAATCCCCAATTTTCTTCGTTTGGTGGTCTAAGATTGCATTTTGGGTCTCTTTTCCTTGAGGCCAAATGTATTTATTCATCCTGTAATTCTTCTTGACGGAAACTCACCTGCAGTGATGGGCCAGAGGATTGAAAGTCTTCAGACTCTTCAGTGTGCGAATCCCGTCTGTCCGCCTGGGAAATTCCACAAATTCCTCACCAGCAGTCCGGACTCCCTGGAGAGCTTCTCCCGATTTCTCTCTCCTTCCCGAGTGTGACTGGACGCTGCCTGGCAAGGACGCTGCGATAAGGAGATCTCGATTTCCATGGTGGAACGACATGTGACCGGAGGGCTATAATATGGGGAAAATCCGCAAAACTTCCTTCTCCCTGGAGCGTGACCGATCCGTCGCCATGAAGTGAAGGGAACCCATTCACAGCCCGGCCGCGACACGCTCCGACACGCTGGCTGAGCGAATTCGGACGTCTTCCTGCGCCGGACGTCACGATGATGCTGGTGATGATGACATCTGTGAAAATAGCACTGCAGCCACACACAAACATGGGCAGAATCTGAATCTGACCTTTTCAGGAGGACATTAACGGGGCCTTTCTCCCAGTCCTCAATTTATTGACATGCTTTTCCTAAGCGAAAATCCTTCAAGATCAACAGTCAAATGAGAATGTCATTTACACTTACAAGGTACCTGATTAATAAAATTAAGAACCACCTGAACAAATATAAAGTGCACATTTATCTCAGTTATTTTCATCCCAGACACATATTTGCTCATTCATTGCGTCACATTTTTAATGCAATTTGAAACAGACACAGATGACAGGGCATTCTTTGTTTTAGTTAACATGATGAAAGCATGTTAATGTAGGGTTACAGTGTGACCCAGACTGGACCAGTGATCTCTGGACTGTAGGGGTACAGTTTGACCCAGACTGGACCAGTGATCTCTGGACTGTAGGGGTACAGTGTGACCCAGACTGGACCAGTGATCTCTGGACTGTAGGG